TCGCTCAAGTGAGGGATGTTGGTGCTGCAAATGGAATATTTTCTATATTGCACCAACTTAAGTATAGCACAATGAAGATGCAATGCACTGCTCAAATTGCCATGAATATGCCTAATACGCAGCCTGAACACAGTCGATCGCAACCACAAACCCATTATGACTTTCACCCCACTCCCAGTACTTGTAGGCTCTGCTCTGTATTAGAAAGAAAATGACCAATTTCAGTCTTTGTCTTTTTAGAATGCAGTTGTGGGGCCCCAGTTTCAAAATGAGGCATTTGTGCCAATGGTCTGAATTTAAACAAAGCCACACATTTGAAAGCACCAACTGTGGCCTGCTCCCCCACCCCCCATCCCACGCCATATTACCTGAAATGTAATATTGGCCAACAAAAGCGGTATGTCTCTTTATATTTGATAACTAGTTGACAAGCTATTTTATTGCAAACTGTTAAAAAACAATAGAAATAAGGTACATTTGCACATGAATAAATCAAAAGCATAAACATGGTGCAACATATTGAAGAAATAATGCAAAAACAGAAACCTTTCAATGAGGAAGGGAGTATTCTATTGGAATTGCAGCCTGGACCATGCTACTGTTTTGAATGCAAGTGATTAGTGATGTTTGGCTTGCTATGGGAACTGGTTTCATTCCTATTGTCTATAGAAATGGCAGAGTTAATCATACTTCTCTATCAGGTTTAGCATTTGAATGCAGCAGTTCAGGAGCAGGAATTTATATCATATCATCACTGCGTGCCAAGGCTTGCTTGTAAATATGATTGCATTCTAGGATATTGTTACAAGCTGTGAGTATTATCACCGAAACAAGTAAGAGTATTTATCAAGCTATTTAGAATTATGTCAATATCTTTTCTTAACTCAAATGCCCTGAGATCAAAGGGGTAAGTGCCAATTTTGAAAAATACCCTTTCAATAAACATTGATAAAGCAGCAATAATTTGTTATATTTTACGTGAATATTTTGAGATTTCTGTCTTAATGTTAGTTTATACACATGCTGGTAATCATCATACTCACTTTTGACATTACATTTCTATCGGGTGAGGGTGCTTTTGCTGATATAAGAAAAATGCTAAAGCTTCCTTTTAAAGAGTAGAATGTATAAGCAGCCTCTCTGCTATATTCACGGCTCAAAAAATAGACATTAATGCACTAAATACTCAACATTCAGTAGTAGATGTCCCCTCATTAAAACATGTGGCATACAGTCCAGATTTATTTTCCAGTTGCTGAGTTTTGAGATCATTTTACCTTTTAAGGATCTGCAGGGAGGCTGGTACCATCCTACAAAAACTTCAAATATACCTTGAAGGATGAATGTTAGCATGATTATGGTCGCAAGTGAACACATACTGCTCAGCCACCCAGGTTTTGGCAGTGCTGAAAGCTCTGACTGGTTTCAGCTCCAGCACCCAAGGCAATGGTATCCTGCCATCAGGGCAAGGAAATCCCTTGGTCACAGACAATCTGTTTGAAGGTGCATGACCTAATGGTATTCCACAATAAGCATAGAACGCCACAACAAAACTTCAGAACAAAATTCCAACAATAATCTGTTCTGCTATTGTTGCTCCTTTGATCTTGTGATGTTGGTGTGTACATGGTTTGCTGAGATGTACAGAATGTAGAGAGCGTATAGAGAGGTACTGACATTTGCCCAAAGCCATTTTTATTTTTACTGTGAAATAGGGCTGCAAGAACTGTGAAAATAGTAGTAATGGATGCATAATAAAAAGCTACATAACATTAATATATTTCCTTTTGGTTTCAAACCCAAGAGACGTATAATACAGTAACTGTAATCATTCCTAGATTTTTACATTTACTACCACATTAATTACACAAACCTTCAAGGTAACTTAAAAATTTAAAGCCGCATGATCCCATCATTTTCTTTCTTCAACTTATATATTTGCTCAAACTTGAAAGCTTGTTTACAAGGCTCCCATACTAAAACATAAAACATGAGTCAAAGCAGATACAGCATAGATTAACATTGGGTAATCTGTAATCGTTCAATTTCTATAGTTCAATACTGCTTTTAATTTGGCATAAATCTAATCTACAGGACTTTCCAAAATAACCAAATGTTAAAAAGTAGTCACTAAACACCCATTCATTACTGAATTATGTGGTGAAATGTGGTTTTCGAACATTAAATGTTGTATCTAACCTGTTATGGTTAACCATGTGGTTATGAGTGAAACAACAGGCTCTCTGAGCTTCACCTATGGTACTAGTCATTTTGTATATCATTGATATACACTTCTAAAAGTAAACAAAATCACACAAGGATCCTTACTACATCTCAGAAACAAATCATTTTTTTCTAGCCTTACAATTAAAGATATTTTGGTAAGTATAATGTGAGAACAGATTCCTAATCTGTAATTATGATGATCACCAATGAATGACAGTACATTCCGCTCCCAATAGAGAAAACTAGTCACTTTAAGTGACTTTTCAGATGGAGATTAAGTGACCTTCTCTTATTATGCCCTATGAGAATAATTCTTCAGGCTTCTCTAGTTCATTGTGCAGAAGAGGAGTCTCATTCAGGATAACGTTGAACAATTAACCTCATCTGTCCTAATAATCTTATCATAGAAAGTTGGGGAAGGTAGAAAAAATTATTTGTGCTATGGAGATCACAAAAGTTACAGCTTATAATAAGGTCTTATTCCAATATTTTTCTGCAGTTGAAAATAGCAGCAACAAGCTCTAAAGCCTGAGGACAAGAGACATTTCTAAACTATTACTTTATACCTCAACAGATAAAACAGTGTGAATAAATTCAATTATGAACATTTGTACATGAGAAGTAATATTTGGGAAGACAAACAATGTGGTAATATGCATAAGCAAAGATAAAAAATGAAATAAGAATTAAGGTACCTTCCCTGCAGTTCACCACCTCTCTGACCAAGATAAACACAGAGACTCACACATATATAGACATATAGACACATACATATGCAGACATATGCACACACACACACATACAGACACACATGCATACAAACACACACAAACAGACACATGAACACCCAAAAACATACACAAAGACATACACGTACACAGAAAGACACATACACACAAGGTCAGACTATAGGTAAGGAGAGCAGGAAACATGAGTAATATCCCTTTTGTAAATAATGATGATTGCTGCACCTAAATATAAACAATAGTTCTTTCTCATTTATTATATCCCTCATGGAGAAACTGTCTGTTAAGAGCACAGCTCTGCCAAACTTCATATCTACAGCTCTTGTTTTATGTTTCTATTCTTCGAAGCAGGAATTTAGGCTATGGATGAAGAGCTGCTCTATGTTCTTGCCAAATTAGATTGAGTTGCTTAGATACCAGCCAGACTTTTACTGAATGTGCCAAAATGAGAGCCAAGACTAGCACTATCTTCGAACATGACATTGAGGTTAATGGCAGTCACTGGCTCCATAGTAGGTGCATGTGGGAACAATGACATGACCAGTAGCCAGAGTGCCAGCTTTTTTGAATTGAGGACCAGGCTGTCCAGTTTCAATAACATTCCTCGATCAATAAGCTTAAAAGATACATTGGAAATGGTAAAGATAGAGCTAAATCAAAAAGAAAATGTTCATGGTATTAAAATATGGGTCAATTCTGCAGTCTTGTCAACAGCGTCCAGTGCTTCTGAGTAACACATGGAATCTGTTTATCAATATTGGAGGAGCCTGCTTCAGAGATTCAAAACATCAGAGTTTCCCTAAAAGATCTTGTGATCATTGTTCTCTTTCAATGAAATGACGGGGGGAGGGGTCTCCTCTTTACAATATTGGGACCAATGTACTCCCCAGACAGGAGAGGCAGGGCTGGCACTGCATTTGACTTATAGAAAATGTGTGTGTGTGTGTGTGTGTGTGGGGTGGGGGGGAGAGGAGGGGACTTGCATAGCTCTTAAAGTGGAAATATCACCATGGGAAGCAAGTGGACTACTTTATAACTAAGCACATAAATTTATAAATTATAGAGATTCCTGAGGAGAACGAAGCATTGCAAGACATTCCAATTATTGAAACAATGCTGACAGAGAACCAACAGTTTAGTCCCAATAATTCCTTGGACATAACAGAAAAATGTATACAAATGCCTTCATTCATTCAATTTCTTAACCATTTTCTGTATTTTCAAGTGAAGGAGCGGATCCTTAGCTAGTCACCAAGGAGATCTTGTACTGCAATTTTTGATGGGCATCTTTATACCTTAACTTTTTCCTAAAGCTCTTACATAAGAGGAGAATGCAATTGTATTCCATGTGATTTTAGTAATCTGGCACTCTGATATGATTTTCACTGTCTGGCAGGTTACCTTTCAAAACAAATGATCTAATTTCAATTCAGAGTAAGGTGGCAAAGTGAAATAAGAATGGCCAGCATGGTTTTCTTTGTGGGTACCTTGTGGGAAGGTTTAATAAGATATCACAATTATAATCCTTGCACTTGATGTGGTGCTTTATCACATCATCGAGAAATCTTAAAGTGCTTCACAGGATTTATTGTAAAATATACTGATTATATATTTTGTAGGCAAATGCAGCTACCAATTTGAGCACAGCAATGTCCCACAAACAGGCATGAGGAGAAAGACCAATTTTATATGGTGGATTGTTGGCTAGGAGTAAAGCCAGGAAGGGAGAATAAATGGAAGATCACTTTATCTCATTCAAAAGCCTTAGGATTTATATGAAATATTATCATTGTAATTCTGGAATTTTTGCCCTGCCTTTAGGGATCGGGGGCACATTTCACCATTTTATATTTTTGGAGTTTTTAACCTGTTATTAATTCCCTTCATTCAGGGGAATAAATTGGGGGAAAGCCCACTGTGATTTAGCACTACTTCACTTTACAGTATATTCTGTGAAGCGCTTTGGGACGTCCTCCCGACGTGAAAAGCGCTATATCAAATGCAAGGATTATTATTATTATTATTATTACCATCTGCCAGCTAGCTAATGCCAACAGTTGAAATACCCTCTGTTATGAAACAATAGATTGACCTGTCCAGCACATAAGCTATTAAATTTCCAGAAACAAACAAACATATTGAATAAGAAAAGAAATATTCAGCTCAGCTATCCCAAGCTCTACCGACAAACCACATATAAATAATAGGCATCAGCATGGACTCCTCCCAAATTAGAATCATAGAAATTTAAAGCAGAGATGGAGAGCATTTGGCTTATTGAGACTTAACCAGCTCTCAGAGCCATCTATACTTTAAATCCCATTGCCCTGCCCTATCCCCATACCCCTCCAAGCCTCTAATTTTCATGTTTGGTCCCTTGAAAGCAGTGAATAATAGGTAAAAACCCCACAAATATAAAATTGGAAAGTGTCCCTGATCCCAAAGGCAGGTGAAAGATACAGTAATACAATGATGGTGATTCATAGAGGTCCGACAGAACTTTTTTATGTGTTTTAAAAATAATACCAAATTAGATTCAGCCATTTTGTCTCATCTGTCGCAGTTTTTTCCAAATTGACCCATATTGTCAAAGTGAAGATTTCACCATTTAATGAGAGATAGCAATGGTATGACTGTGCTGGCAGGTGAAGAATTCCAACAGTAACTCGGAATTTAAAACCAAATGACACCACTAAGCACCTCCAAACCCTTCAAACTAAAGAAACATTGACTAGCTCAAGACAAAACATGTACTGCATTAATTTTTGAAGGCTTACTCTCTCTACTCGTGATGTAGCACCCACTCAAACTATTGGCTTCAGCAAAAAAGAAAGAACTGAAGAAACTGGGGCTGTTTTTCTGATATGACTTTATAAGAGGTCACAAACTCCAATTGAAAAGCCATTTCAAAGTACTGTTCTTCCTCTGATCGTCAGTTACATGATTTGCAACAATCATGGTACGTAGAACATGATGAATGAAGATTTTTTTTGGGGGGATGGGGTTTTTGCAGCTTTAGAACTGATGAACAAAGCATTTGCATTTCAATATTATAGCGGGTGCAGAAACTTTACACAACTTGAAAGTTACAAAATACCATAAAGTACCAAAAGATACAAAATCTTTTTGATCTGAAAGTTACACATTAACCAAACAAGACTGAATTCACATTTCATTGCTTATAAAACATATAGATAGTGCGGCTATTGCAATGAACTTCCACTATAACTGTATGCCAAACAGCATTGCTAATTTTTGTTTGTAATAAATTCAAAAGGAATCTTCATTCGCGGTACTGTCATGGTCACAAAAATAGAGTAAAGCTGTCAACTTGCATAATGCAAAAAAATGCTGCCTGTAAATCAAGGTAATCAGGCACAATGAAAAGAGAAAGTTAATCACTTTTTGTGAAAGAGCAGGGGTTTCACCAGGCCGGCGAGGATCTTGGGTAACTGTGTGGTGATTATCTCCGACATCATCTCTGGGAACTCTACACTCAGTGCCTGGGACTGAACAAAAGTGTTCAAGCAGAACTGTTGCAGCTTCTTGACCAGCTGTTGAAAAGAGACAATGAGGTTATTATTCTCCCTCCCCGTATTTTACTATTCCACCTTTCAAAATATCATATGTGTCAGTTAGCATAAAGATTACATAGATTGACATATAATGTCCAGCATGAACAGGTCATTCAATCCAATTAGTTTATGCCGGTGTTTATCCTACACATGAGTATCAACCCTCTCCTTACTCCCTCCCATTTCCTTCTTCCTCGTGAGTCTAGCTAGATTATGGAGGGAAATGTGTAGTGCGTGAGGTGGATGTGATAATTATCACAAGACAGAGTATTTGACCAGTTTTATCGTGTACTTTACAGCATTTTGGGGGATGAACCCCTTCCCCCCAATGACTTATGGAGAAATATCACTGACTGTTGCCTGGAAAGATATCTATGAATAGAAAAGCTCTTTAAGCTTTGTGGGTAAAGTGCTTTGACAAATCTCCAAAATAAAAATCGTCTCAAAGCACTTATTAATTCTTTGTATTAGTTTTTGATAGTTACTACCAACAGGTAAGCAGAAAAAGATATCCAATACTTGTCAAACTTAATGCAAAAAGCCACAGGTACCGCCTACTTCATGCATGGAGTCCATGAGTTTGGTGAGCTGGTAAAGACGCTGGGGGCTGCCCAGTGCCCCTTTCTCCTGTAAGCTGATAGCTCTACTCAGCTCTCTAATGTAGTCTCTCCGCATCTCTTCAAAGTAAGGTTGGCTCTTGAGGCCTTCCAGGGGAACTGAAAAAACAGAAACCATTTTCTACATAGAGCTTTCGAAAAGAAACTCTAACATTATAACAAGCTTCTCTGGGCAAAATTGTGGTGCAATTTTGTATGTTGCATCATGCCCAAAATTTGCAATAGTCATGTCATTTAGGGAGTGAAGATACATAAATCACATAAATATAAATACCAAACTCCTCTGATTTGTGTTTTTGTTGCTGTATTCCTAGCACCAAATCAATTATCTCCCCATTAAATTGCCCTGAGCCAGATGAGTCATTTATTCACTTATCAAATTATATCCTCTTGGCTGGGGCATAGCAGCATACACCTATGATCTGAAGCTAAAGAGAAGCAAGTGCACAAGAGAAGATTGACAGCAGGGGTGCTTTGAGAGGCTGAGGCTGGTACATTGGATAACTATTTGGAGATGTCACATGGTTGTTAAGTCCCTGTTGATCATAGTCACCTACTGTTGTTAAGTCCGCTAGAGGCACATGGGATCTCTAGGTTTAGGCACTTGGCAAAAGGTAGGCAGTAACTTGGTATATGGACTTATGAATTGGACTCTGCAGTGTTGTGGTCACCAAGGTAATGGATCACTTTAGAAATCCTTTGCACTGTAGTCACATTGTCATGTATGAAGGAGTATAAGACTGCATAATAATTTAGAGTGAATATTTTTGTTTCATTCTGTTTTATTCATAATAAATATAGTTATGGCGGAGTCTTGTTAGTGGTTGCTTCATTAAAGCCCTAACCTGCCTTAAAAATGGTGGCAATAGCCAGTTTCACTGTGCATATGAGGAGCCAGCCAGCTTGGTTCATGCATCCCACCCAAAACTGGACTTGAAGCATAAATCACGACATACAGAGTAAAACAAAATATTGTTACTGAATTGTCAAGATGGAAATTTATGTCACTTAATGAAATAAGGAAGATGCACCCCTCTAGGGAGAGAATGTGCATTCCATTCCAACAATCTGTCTCCAGATTTCCATCTGCAGGTGGGAGGCATGGAAATCTCAGTTTGGTTTGGATACTCTTAAGCACAGTGATGGGTTTCCGCATGTGTCAGACAGTGTCTATAGATTGCAAAATTACTCACTTAGGCAAAAAATACCATTATTATACACTTAAAGCCAGGATTCATTTTGTCAGAGAAGCAGGGAAACAGACATGGAAAGAGCAAAAGGTGGGTAGAGGTTGTGATCAGTCTGTAAAACGGCTCAACATCCAAACTAGGAAAAGTACAAAACATTTATATAATGCCTTTCATGTCAGGAGAATGTCCCAAAATGTTCTGAGGGAAATTTCTGTGATTTATCTTATCAGATTGCACCTTCCTTAACTGGTGCAACATTTCAAAGAGTTACAAAATTTTAAGGTGTAGCTCTGAAAAACTGGTCAGACTCATATCCACTTTTAGAAAATTATAGAGGACAAAGTTATGTGAGTTAGAGCAATGAACCAAAGAGTCAGGCAACAATTCAAGAAAAAAGATAGAAACCACAATAAAATAATAATTCTCACATTTCATATAGCTCCTTTCATATTGGGATAAAGCACTTCATGAAATTTTACTGTAAAGTGTAGAGACTGTGTAATGGTGGGTGAATATAGCAGCCAATTTGTGCACAGTAATTTCTCACAAACAGACAAGAAGTGAATGACCAATTTTGTTTGGGGGATGATTATTATTTGCCAGGATACCATGAGAAGCTCTCCAGGATTCTATGCCGCGTAAAGGGTGCCAAATAAATGCAAGTTGTTGTAGTTGAAAAACTCCTGTCTCTTTTTGAATAATGCCATGAAATCTTTATTATCCACGTGAAAAACTAAATGGGACCTTGCTTTAATGATTCAACTGAAGGGCAGCACCTCTGACAATGAGACACCCCCCAGCACTACAATGGAATGTCACTCAAGACTACGGGAGTTCAAAGTGCAGCTGTGGGGCTTGAACCTGCAACTCAGAGTTGAGAGCCAAGCACAAATAGAAACAAAAAGAAAGAAAAATATCCAGAAAGAAGGGAGAAGAAAAAGGATTAGAATCAACCACTTTCTGATATTTGGTACTTGCCCTTTGGAACTCCACCTGCAGGTCTCTCTGACCTGCTCCCTCCCTCCCTCCCTCCATCCTTCCCCTCTTTCAGTATTTGCCTCAAACTATACCTCTTTGACAATGCTTTTGGTCATCTTTTCCCTCCTCACCCTCCGCTCAGCTCCCACCCCACCTCCGGTGCCCAGCCAGAATTGTCAAGCGTTTTGGGATGTCCTGAAAGCTGCTGTCTAAGGATTTATATTGTACTGTATTGTATTGGAAGGAAAGAGTTGCTAAAAGACAGAAAGAGGGAAAGATTTGATACAGAACAAGAAGAAATAAAACCAAAGAAAAAAGTGTTTAAAGAAATATTTGGTTTAGGACATACAGAAATACAAGGTCTGTCTCAATGTGGATGAACTATGCTCCACTATATTAATAAAAGTCAAGACTGAGCACTTTTATGAAACATATCAGAATATTAACTGGAATATCGACAGCTAAAGCCACAATAAAGTATACAATTTCACTGAAATGAAATTGGTCTGTGCTAAACTCATCAAAACAAATGATCATCAAATAATTCAACATAGCCTTTCACTTGTGGTTGGAATGTGCTCCTAATTAGATTTCGTTCCTGATAGTTTGACGATCATAAGAAATAACATTGCATACGTTGTAAATATGGATCTGGAATTCATAAGACTTCAGATTCTAATCATTTTAAAACATGCCAACTTTTATTTCTGTATCTGCTAATACCAAAGCTTTCTAATACCAGAAAGTAATTTAATTTTCACATCTTGCATTTCTCATTTCATTTCTGTTTCTTCTGGAATATTAGTTAAATGGAAATTCAATGAAAATAAAAGTACTTACTCCAGCTAGATGCAAGAGGTTCTTTTAAAAAATGCACAACATTCCATTGAAAGGTTACACTTTCCTCCTGTTTTTATAAGGTGTAATCTTGAAGTGTGAATTATGTACAGCAATAACATGGTGCAATTGACGCAAATGCAACTTTTACTCTGGTATCAGTAAATGCAGGGTCTTACAGTAGATTTGAAAATATTCAAACCTGTGTTCGACAACCAATCGGGCCAAAGTGGTCTTTATACAAGGATGGCCTTTGAGTAAGGGTTTGTTTGTGTGCAAACCAGACTCTCCTGTTTCAGGGTGGTTGTTAATAGGGGTGTGGTTGTTGAATGGAGGTGGTTGCTTGAACAGGTTTGGCTGTATTCAAAACTTGCTGTGGCGCTTTGTAAATTAAAGGATCTTTATGATCTATGTCTGTTTTGTGTCATGTTTTTGGAGTCGTCATTAGGCGCGTAGTTCTATTCAATGGCAGAGAAGTAACAATGCTGGCAGTCTACGCAAGTCACGTTTCAGAGCGCAGAAAGTAGTACCTGGCACCAATGGCAAGGGGACTGTTTAGAGGAATACTTGAGAACAGTTCCCTCTATGATTCACAAGCAAACACATCCTTAGGTTAATTTCCTTATTAGATTTCATTATTAAAAGGGGAGGTTCAATATTAACTTGCTAAGTAAGTAATTCACTCATGTTGTTATTTTGTCACCACCTCAATTATACAATTTATCCAGCCTGGGAACTGGGCCTACTTTCCTACTGGCCAGTCTGTCGGTCTCCATTACTTTGGCACGTACGGTTATACAAACATGAGAGTGAAACATCTCGGAATGTTAAAATCCATGAACCTTTAGTAGAAATGTAGAACTGCATTTTGGAATTTTAACTGATTTTTTATAACACATTTGAATCTGTAATGAAACATTGTACTTTTGAGTCCACTACTAAAGCCTGGCCAAGAATGTAATCCCCACTCCACCCTAACTGCAGCACAATGATTGGGGCTGGAGATTTCAGCACTCCCATACTTGGTCCCATTAGAAACTACAATTGCTGTGCCAACCAGGAGCATGGCTTTCAGTTTGGTTTCATGGGAAGCTAAATGGCCTGTGTCCAGATCAATGCCGCCATCACTTCCTGCTATGCACATATATAGTAATAATAATAACAATTTTTGCAATTGGTGTCGCATTTTTCATGTCAGAAAAATGTCTCCAAAATTGTTTCATAGAATTTACTGGTAAGTGTAATGACTGTGGCAATCACCACAGGCCATTAGTCTACAGCAATATCTCACAAATAATTTTTAAGTGAATGACTAAATTTATCTGGGAAATTGTTGTTCAGGACACTGCAAGAAACTCCTTTTTCTTTTCGAATAGTGCCTTTAACATCCACCTGAATAGGCAGATGGAACCTAGTATTAATGTTTCCTCCAAAGGACAGAACTTCCAACAATGTAGCATTACCCCAGCGCTGCACTGGAGTATCAGCCTTGACAATGTGAGTTCAAAGTTCCAATGTACGGTTTGAACCCATAACCTTCTGACTTATAGACAAGAGTGCTACTAACTGAGCCACACTGGAACCACCAGTAACGCAGCAAGTGACATAAATGGTGACCTAATGACTCAGAAGTTGGCTAATTTAGTATGAAAAGCTGGCTGCCATGCAGGAACCGAATGGGCTGGCTGAGCACAAGTGCAGTGCATTATAAGTGAATTTGCACTATCGCGAACTGCTTTACAACAGGGATACGTAACATATCTAAAACAAATACTTTTGGAGGGTGAAAATAAAAGGGGTCTCCCTGAGGTTGAATTGGGCTTAAGGTAATACCTAGGAAAAGCTGGGAAATCTGTGATATGGGATAAGGTGTTATATCAAATGCAAGGATGACTTATTTAACTCTCAATCTCCTTTATAGGTTCTGATGCCAGTTCAGTGCCATTACAACGCCCTAGGGGAATGAGAGGATGGATTGCTTTTGTGAGCACAAAAGCTGCAGAGACCACCAATATTGCTTGGTGAAAAGAGTGCCTTCAGTAGGGAAGCACTATCCTCAAGTCATTCTGATAATCTTAAATGTGTAAAAAAATAAATTTGCTTGAAAACAAGGAAAAATTAAATCTGATTTGGAAAGATTACAAATAGCATGCAATACTCTGTACAAGTAATGAAACAATATGTTATTAAAGGATAAGTTAGAACAGGTTTAAGTACTTAATTAAAATAGTTATACTTATGGATACTATTAATCAGTATATAAATGGATATTAGGTTGCCCCCTCCCTATCAACTATCAACAAACTATCATTTACAAAAGTGAAGACTTGCATCTCTGATTGGCTGTTGAAGGACACATTGTGCAATGCTGTATCAAATTATATAATTAGATCAAAATTACACGGACTATTATATACCTACAAGAGATTAAGCATAAATTCTAAATTCTAAATTCATAAGTTCTAAATCTTAAATTCTTACCATCAAATGTGCATTTTAACCCTATAAGAGCCATAGAAGAGTTTTCCAGTCAGAAGCTCCCACTTGTTTTTTGGTGCTATTTTACATCGACAGATTGATCTGGTCACCTCTGTAATGCAGCCAAGTTAATTTTGCTTGTATAGGTTTTTTATTGGCTGCAAACCTAGCTTTCAGAAAATTATGTTGGGTACATGTACAGGTATGTAACAATGCAAGAGCAATAAAAGGACAATTAATTTAAAAAAAATTAAATGCGTTCAATGAGTAATAATTCATGTGAAGTAAACTATAACATATAATACTTTACAGTCAGATCATGCAATGGTTCAGATTCATAAAATGAGATTTGTGTTACAATAGATTGTGTTCTAGAGTGGACGGCAGTCAGCAGTTCCGTGACATTGTCACAAGGACATCATGGCTGAAGTCAATGAACCATGCTACACAAAGGCACAGGAAGTTGACTGGTCAAGGGTGAGTGGTCTTGCAACCATTTCCTTCAGTTGCTGGGATGTCACTGGCATCCAATTTCTGGCCAGTCAATGCCAGAACCCAGAAACGTAAGTAACATAATCCTTGCATTTGACACAGCACCACATCACGGTGTCGAAACATTTCAAAGTGCTGTGCAGGATTTACTGTAAAGTGCAGTGGTGATGTACTTGTAAGTGAATGTGACAGCTAATTTGCACATGACAATGCCCCACAAACATCTAAGAAATTAATGAGCAACTTTGTGCGGGGTTTCTTAGCCAGGAGAAACTCCCTTTTCTTTTTCAAGTATTTGAACCTTTAATGTCTACCTCAACAGGTAGACGGTACCAAAGGGCAGGACCTTTAACAATACAGCGCTCCCCCAACATTATATTGGAGTGCCAGTCTGGACTGTGAGCTCTAAAAGGTGGGAGAGGCTTCAGCCGCTCTGTCCCCAACCTCTGGAATTCCATCCCCCAATCACTCCAACTTGCCCCGTCCTTAGCCTCCTTCAAAACCTCAAAACCCTCCTCTTCGACCATGCCATCGGTCATCCCTCTTCCCCTCCCCTCCCTTCTCCCTCCCTGACCCCAGCTCGGGTCTGAAATGTTGTACACTGTCCAGCACCTTGGGACGTCCTCCCGACTTGAAAGGCGGTATACAAATGTAATCTTGTTGTTGTTGTTGTTGAACTTACAATCTTCTGAGTCAGAGGTGAGTGCTCTCACAGAACCAATGATATACTAAAAATGCATTTCTGGTAGACTGCAGGCGTACCAACCATGTACAGACCTGCAGTATACTGAAGTCTGTATAACAGACTCTGAGTGTATTTCAATAACTAATTTCCAATTGTGAGATAGTCTGTAATTCAGCATGAACATTAGATTCCTGCAAAGGTTTGATTAAATGAAAACCAGCCACAAAATGCTGATTTCCTATATCATTTTTTTATCACAATGAGAAATCATTTGCTCACATTGGTGTCAATGCAATCACTTCTGCATGTGTCAGGAGTGACATTTACGATCAGTAAAAATGACAAAATGTGCAAGTCAATTTTAACATAGAGAGCTGTGTCAATTTCTAAGAGGCCCACACATTAACATGACTCATATTTATGAACCAAGATGAGTGATTGTCCTAATAACTAATTCTAGCTGACAGGACTGTTAAAAAATAAAAGATTTTCCACGTGGGTGAAGAAACTATACCACTGATCAATGATTTTAATGATAGAGATTCCCTGAAAAGTAAAAAAAGTTGCTAAGTACAGTACTATGGTCAATTGTATTCTTCTCATTCAACACCAAAGCCATAACAAGAAAGGTGGTCCCATCTGAGCAACCAGTGGGATACTTGCCAATATTCACAATTGAAAACTGTATTTTGGCTGGTTATACTCCCACTGTAACTGATTGCACATCCTGAAGCCCCAAGTCTTATCTCTTACCAACTTGTACCTAATAGTTTCTGTGAATATGTTAGTGTGCATCCCTCTAGAGAGGGAGCTCTAGAGGGATGCACTTAAGAACTCTATGCTAGCCAAAAATAAATTTCCATTCAAATGTGGAACTCCCAGTAGTTTGGTTTTGGAGACTCTGAACATGGTAATCTGTTTCTGTGTATGTTAGCCCATCAGTAGCTGAGGTAAAATATTGTAAGCTTTCATTAACAAACAAAAAGAGCAAGTAGAGCAAGTATAGGGTGAATAGATAAGGCATTCTTTCGATCAAGTTAAAAAACATTATTTTAACATAGGATTGTGTCCCAGAGTGCTGCAAAGTGGCAAAAGGACATTTATTGACATTGATGTGACCTTACATTGAACATATGAAACACAGAAACTGGAAATGTAAAATATGTGCGTAAGAGTTTTTTTTCATTTTCTACTTATCCATTCCTCTCATGAAGAATTTCCCCTTCTTTCCCCTTTCTGTGGTTTCACAAGGGCTGGTTGTCCTCTGGAACTTCACCAAAGTGGTAATTTTTCATGTGTAAGCCTGATAGTTTGTGGGAAGTCTACTGCATCAAAGCCCAATTTTGTTCTGGCTGATCACACACATACAACACACCAGTAAAAGTTTGTGTGTACTGATCAGGAGTGGTAATTGTAGTTAATTGTTGTCTGCCTATCATTGAGTGCTGAGTGGGAAGGGATGTGTACCTGAGCTGTGGTCAGGAAGATGGTTGCAATGCTGTCACACAATTCATGCTGAGCCGTGTTGCCAACCGGGAAACTTGCAGGGAGTTCATGATACCTACCACACACCTAGTGAGGCTCAAACCTGTGCTTGTCGCGTGTCAGCAACCAACTAGGGACTATACTCCTAAGGGGGAAGTAAGTGGAATCTTCATGTCTCTGAACTGGCTCCAATGTGACATCTTTGGCAATGGATTGTCAGAAGCGAGCCAGCCCTCTGTGACTGTCTCTGCAATCTGGTTCCTGAGCCAGGTGGGTTTGCAGTACTCCAGAGCACTGCTGATCAGCCTGGCTCATTTGTAGGACTTGTAAGAGCAGATCAGTCACTTGGGGCAGATAATCCTCCCACTCAAGTCATTTAACCCTGCAAGCCAAAGCCCTAGTGGGGAGGGTGGTCCAAGATGGACAAGCAGTGGGAAAGCTTGCCAGTCAGATTTTTAACACTATGATGTTCACAATGGCCAGAATACCTGTAGAAAACCTGGTTACACTTATTCCAAATCTTGTATCCAGAGTTGTCAGATAGATATTGATAGTGATATCAAGGTCAGCAATAGCCAGATAGACAAAGACGAGGGTTATGTGCATGATCTTTTAAACCTTTAGCTGAAGACTTATTTACAACATGATTTTGGCTATATTACAAGCCAACAAAAACACCTCACGATGTACTCCATAAAATTACAGGACAAAAGTTATGAGATGTAAACTAGTTCACTTTAAAAGTTATGAGATGTAAACTAGTTCACTTTAAACCTCATCTTTTTCACTTACTTGTATTAAGAAGTATTAAGGTTTTCATGCACAGATATTCCTCCTGGGTCACTTGAAGATGAATGAATTCTTGAGAGATCTGCCGCATTGCTATGCACAGATCATACATCGCAGATTTCTGCATCCGCTGCCTGTAAAACATAACCAGCGAATCTTCACATAATGCGTACATATCAAACTTGCCTTTAGTTCTATGTCATGAATCATTTTGTAAATTGAGGATCTCCATTTTTTATTTCTGTAGAGACCACTCTATTTAGACTTCCTGAATTCCCATGAAATCGTATTCCAATCAAAAACTGAATAAATGGAATCTAAAGTCGGGGAGATTTACTCACGTTAACACAACATTTGCAGAATAACATTATTCAAGCAATGAAACTATTGTTGTGAGAAGAAGGGGATGCACAGGTGAGACCCGAATTGCAGCACTGACTTTTTCCTAATTCCAAATGGGAAAAATGTACTGTATCTCTGCTAAAATTGTGTTAAGTAGAAACAATAAAAGGCAATATTAATAACAGGCATATCAGCCTTTTGTGGGAAAAGTTCATGTTTAATTTTTTTTCAGGTTGGACAATTTTGAAAACGTTTTCTTTTTCAAAATGTCTTTAATCATTAAAGAGCTGAAAGAATACTAGTCAGACATTAAGGATCCCAATTCAGAAGACAACATTTGTAATCATCTTTCAGAAATGAAGTGTCTCAGCATTCTCCATCCTAACACCCATCACAACACTAAATATCCGACAGTAGGAACAATAAGACATCCGACTAAAATTCAGAGATTATACTGTAAATCAATATCAATATAAATCATCTTAAATACTACGAGTGAGCCACTTGAACTATGCAAATGACTTGCTTTCCCACTGTGCACATGAAGGAAAACGTAGGAAATTTTGTTGAGGGCAGAAGTACAGAGGATACATTTTTAACTGTGGAACTCATAGTACTCGTTAAACCTTACAAAATGTAAGAATTAATTTGTAGCCAAATGCTTTTAAGTGGCAGCTTCTCGCATGGCAGCTGCACTGTAGCCAAAAACAATTAAATATTTCTTCAGATGTCTTAAAGGCTAATGTAATTACTTCTCTTTATGGGTCTCTATATTCACTGGGTCACTCCAGTAATGTTATTGATAGGGAATCCACAGCACCAGCTGGGCATTACTGGATGCTTGCTGCTGCTGTGTTGTTTTCCAATACCGAGGAGTTCTCTGGATCCCAGACGAGTCTAATATGTTAGTCTAAAGCAATTGTGTGCTTCTATGACTTTGGAGAAGGATGTCTTACGGAGCAGGAGGAATGGGTTTGCTCAAAAAGAACTTGCGAATAGAAGGCACACAGCAAATTCAATATAAGGAGATCTTTCCAGGCACACTTAGGTATCTTGAGGAAATCTTTTATACACAGGCTTCTTCTGCAGGTAAGCGGAACATAACAATCACAATGCACAATCTTGGTCCCTTTATTTCCTCATAATAGTTCCACAGTTCACAGCAGGGAGAATTTAGCAGAGATTAGATACACTTGTGAAAAGTATACCATGTGGATTCAACTATAAATGTAACTAGATAAGAATGATGCAAAACATAAAACAAAGCAACATTATGGGGCCCAGGAACAGCAGAATGCCACTTCTCTGAACACATTGGCATAATGCCTCCAGTCTTTCTTTTTTCTGTACTGTTATATCACCGTGCGGACTTCCATAGAGTTAACTGAATACTATCTTAAACATTGGGACATCACCCAGTGGCAGTATGGCTCATTTTCATTTCATCTTGAGAGTAAAGGGAATCTTCGTTGATAATTCCTCCTAAACCTCTACAGAGATATATGAAATCTAGAAATATAAAAAAATGTACATAGTGTTGTTGCAATATACCATTTGCAATGCTACCGTTTATCTATCTTACAATTCTAGTTGAACAGAAACAGTCTAAATTTGAATTCTGGTTTATAAAATAACAGATTGCCACTTAAAAAGTATTGCTATGTTCAGTTAATTCTTGTAGATGCTCATTATTGTTTAAGATTGCCAGTTAGACCAATGAATGCAAACTAATTTGAACTTCAAAATATTTATATTCAACAGGTTTCCACCTACCATAAATGCTCTCTCTGTTCTTGGGAATAAAAGTTTGACCATGTGATTATTCTTTCCATATCATTTAAATGTTGCACATTAGTCCCAATTTACCAGTGCAGTGTGAGATGTGTGTGCTGCAGAGCTTCTGAAATGATGTGTATCTTCTGGTCCTCNTTTTTTCCTCTGTGCCCTGCCTTCATTTGTATACGAACATAGGACGTGGTTTGGATCGTACCATTCCACAAATACATGTATGTTATTTGTATAAACATAAATGTTCACAAGCACATTTTTGTCGAGCTGCTTATTCTGTGCAATCTAGCAATATAATAGTCATAGCAATATAACAGTTTAGGTCTGAAAATCAAAGCAGCCAGCAATGAATTCAAGAATCATTACTTTACGCAGTTGTAATGAAAAATAAAGGTTGCTTACTGTAATGTATTATGAATGCTGTTTCTGAGAACAAATATCTTTTTATTGAGTTTTTGCAGTTTTACAACCAACTGTAAATAGGATTCTTTTTCTACACATCTGGAAAGTTGTACTGGTGGTAAATGGTCCAATGGATGTATGCTTTGAATTCATCTCCTTTGCACGAATTGGTGGATGTCAGGGCTCTGTGGAACCCTATCAGATGTATTGGCACTGCAAAAGTAGAGTTTTCTGGCATTTTCATTTAAGGGTCAATAATTGTCAGCTTGTCTGTAGGACAAGAGCTGGATGGGCGCAAATTTCCTGCTTCCGCCAACGTCTTCTGACCCATGGTTCCGACCTCCTCAACCTATCCAACCTGTCCTTAAAACTCTTTGCGCAACCCGTGCGCAACTTAAGGTGTCAGGTTCGATCCCCAGTTATCCTTCCTCCCCCACATCCGGTCCCTGACCAGCACTGCTTTCTTCCACCTCCGCCACACTGCCCATCTCCGACAATACCTCACTCCAAAAGCTGCCGAAACTCTTGTCCATGCCTTTGTCACCTTCAGCTGGACTATTCAAATGCCCTCCTTACCAGTCTCCCCTCCACTACCATCCATAAAATCCAGGTCATACAAAACTCTGCCGGCCGCATTCTTACCCGCACGAAACTCTGCTTCCCGATTACCCCAGTCCTTGCCAGACTGCACTGGCTGCCTGCCCCAGAGAGGATCGACTTCAAGATCCTCACCCTTGTCTTAAAATCCCTCCACTGCTCTGCAACCCCTGAGCTCTCACCTCCTCTCTCCTCAAAACAGTGCCCTTTGCCTTCATTCCACCGGCTCTGGCCTCCTCCTTGTCCCCGAGTCCTCCGCTGCATCCTCGGTGGCTGTGCCTTCAGCCACTATGCCCCGAGGCTCTGGAACTCCCTTTCTCACTCCCTTCGCCTCGCTCCCTCTCTTCCTATTTTCAGGTCTCGGCTGAAGACCTTTCTTTTCGGCTGCGCTTTTGGTCACCTTCCTCCCCCTCCCCCTGGCTCGGCCCCGGGATCTGTTACTGTGAAGCGCTCTGAGACGCCGTTCGGCGTGGAGAGCGCTATATAAATCCAAATTGTTGTTGTTTAAATCCCTCCATTCCTTGGCACTCCCCTATCTCTCTAACCTCCTCTCTCCCCACAGCAGTAACCGCTTCCTCCAGTATCCTGGGTCCAGCCTCCTCCACGTCCTCCGAACCTTCCGTTCCACCATCAGCGGCCATACCTTCAGCCATTACACCCCGAAGCTTTGGAACTCCCTCCCTCAACGCCTTCACCTCGCCCCCCTCCTTCCCCATCTTCAAGTTGCGCCTGAAGACCTTCCGTTTCGATCGCGCCTACGGTCACCTTCCCCCTCTCCCTGGCTTGGTCTTGGACTCCACCATTGTTAAGCGCTCTGAGACGCCGTCCGGCGTGGAGGGCACTATATAAGTGAAAGTTGTTGCTGTTGTTAATTCATACCAATGGAAATTTGGTAAAATCTAGATGTTCATTTGCAAAATACAAATTCTACATAGACACAGATGTTAACAATATTTAGTAGATAGTAGATTCTTTTCTTTCTATTCTTGACCCCAGTATTTCCTCTGGTCTCTAAGAGAATGCTCACATTTCCTCCAATATTGAAGCTGTTGTCATAAATCTTAATTTCTTGTTGGGTTAAGTAGGGGTCAGCCTGGCGCAGTGGAACCATCTTGCCTCTGAGTCAGAAGGTTGTGGGTTTGAGGCTCATATCGGGACTTGAAATCATGCAGTCTAAGATTACACTTCAATCCAGTGCTGGGAGTGCGTTGCATGTTTGGAGGTGCCGTCTTTCGAATGATACGTTAAACTGAGGTCCCGTCTGCCTGTTTAGGTGGATGTTAAAGATACCGAGGCATTATTCTAAAAGAAAAGGGTTCTCCTGGTGTTCTGACCAACAATTCCCCAAATAAAAATTGGTCATTCGTTTCATGGCTATTTTTGGGACATTTCCCTGTGCAATTGTGCTGTTGCATTTGCCTACCAATACACAGTCACTCCATGTCACAGTAATTCTTGTGAAGTGGTTTGAGACATTCTTACAATGTGATAAGGTGCTATATCAAATGCAACGATTCTTATTGAATATTATTATTGTAAATAAATGTTTTCCCTCTTCCACAACTCTTAAACTTTCCATAAGCAGTCGATTTTTCTAAGGTTGAATACATTTAGAGGATCTTTTAGCCGCTCTTTTGTATTTATAGTCTGAACACAAAAGAAAGGCTTTTCACCTGACAAATCAATGCTTTCCTCCCTTTTGGCCTCTTTCTCATTTTTTGAATGTATTTTACGGTCACTGCTCAGTGCCCATGTGAATGTTTCTTTCTCTCTCTCTCTCTCTCTGCTGCTCACTGTTTGAAATAAAAAACTCATCATACTAATTCATTCCTTGCATGGATTATTATATAAGCACCTCAAGACTGTAATTTGTTACTTGACTCAGTCTTCCCTTTCTCCTACATTCTACTGTATGAGACGTTTAAAACATGAGCTTGATGCAATTAACTAATTATTGATTTGTTTTGCTTTCTCTGTCACTCTTGTTAACCTCAGTATATCCTAC